AAAACTGTCTTTCAAACTTGGTATTTCGATTGGTCAGCCTCTCAGATTTATTGGATTTTTTGGCTTTGTGTGATATTTTGTTTCCCATTGGTCGCACGATATTCCTCTCCCGCCAAGAGGAATACGAGAAATTCCGAAAATGACAGTTACGAAGACCTGGGAAACGATATGTATTAATCTTCTAAACAAGGATATGCAATATATTTCCTGGTCAACTGTGACTTTTGTATTAGTATGCACTTCATTCAAATTGTACTCAAAATTTGTGTTGTTTTATAGTCGGATTGAACATGACTTGAGTGTTACAATATTTACCTGATTTCTAGTATTCACATCAAATTTAGACGATAATGAAATCAGTGTAACTGGTATTCCGTTCCAAAATCATGTTGTTTGTAATCTTTCTACTTAAAATAACTAAGATTATTTTTTTATATTTATTTCGTGGAAGTCGATACATTTACACATTCTGGAGGCCAAGATTTTACACTAAATTGTATATATGCAACACACATGTTTTATGACTTAGGTTTGATCTAAAAACTAATCTGTGGTCATTACTGGCGCCTATTATTTAATTTCTGACAATCGGAATATACAAAAGTTGACCATTAAACGCAAGGGTCGAGAGGAGATATCGGATTTATGCCGATATGCAAAGGAATCAGGTCAAGTTAATTTGTGTTCGTGTCAATCAATCACCTGGGAGAGCTCCAAAAGGCAAAGACAAGTACTTTACAATCACATGATTCAAAGTTAAGACAAAATTATGTAGGTTAGTGATCGGGACGTTTTTGTCAAACTGATCGGTTATTTGTAGATAATGAATGTCTCCTAAAGAGATATATTTGCGAGTTCAAATCTAGACATGAAATGGGTCTTTTAGTGGCAACTTTTGAAGTATAAACTATATTAATGGACGTTAATGACATTCATCATTTAACAATTTTGATAATTGGTAAGTTAACCTTTAAAAGTGTCGAAAGCCAATATCCGAGTTATGCCGATCTGTTACAGAATAATGCCAAGAGAAACCTTAAATTGTGTCAATTAATCTCTGAGGAAAGTTTCATGACACATACAAAAAATTTTAATCGCAGGATTCCGTTGTTGGGACAAAATTTAGACTATTTATATAAGTATTTTTGGCAATCGGTGCAATACAGAAATTATTTGTAGATTCTGACAGTGAAAGTCAGTCAGACTAAAACCTTTTTTTTGAGGGGAAATGGGCAGATTTATTGTTTAATGATAGAGGGTATTGTTGATCTATCAAAGTTTATGCGTGAAAAGAAGGTTATGTATGGTCGATATTACATGAGTTCACGCACAACGGGAAGATTCTACACATTTTTGCAAGACTGTTTTGGGATTAAATTTTCGTGTGCACGAGCGGCTGCCGAATTTCTGCCTCCTCTTCTATATGTGTTGCCATATTTTTGCCGTACAGCCTTGTCTTGCCAATCTTTATTTATTCAGTTGTTCCATTTGCTCACGAGTTTGAAAATTTGTAAAGGTTGATGGTTTAGTTGGCCAGAATGTGGCTTCAGCAAGGGTACAATCCAAAAAAGCGGCCCTAACTGAAAACCATTTAGTGCCCGGTTCGTGCAATTTCTTTTAATTATCTTGTAATTTCAACTTAGTCACTCGGACTTTCGTAATATTATCTTAACTTAGTATCTCGTGACAAAGTATCAATGGGCAGCCTTGTTAGAAACATAACACGAAGGATTTAGTCAAAACACCTGTATTAGAGAGTTTTGTCCCTTTTCAAACGTAATAGTGTGTAAAAGCATAGAGTGAATACATTTTGTTCATGGTCCATGTGTTTAGTTAACGGATATTGTTTAATGACGATATTTGTGAGAATGACATAAATAATACTGGGCTTAATTCTTTTGACATGTAATCTGTAACATCCTCCATATTCCACAGTTAATATCTGGCATTGTTAAAAGCATGTTTTCTCCAAGACATGAAGCAATTTCAGACACAGGATGCTGCAGTTTCATTTACTTTGATGGCCTTTCATTACTTTTGAAATTCGCGTTTTTCGCCTCAACCAATGATAATCATGGATGTATTTTGGCAATGGTCGGACCATGATCTATTTGACCGTTTGGCGACTTGGTTGTAGTCGTCTGAAGTTGCTGTTGTGACTTTGTAACTTCAGTGTAAAAGAGCATTGCCCCGTGGCAAGATGGTGGATGGTAGTCCTATAAATCAGTCCCGTCCTCTTTTAGTAGTAATGGGTGGTGTATGGTCTGACATCAACAATTTATAAAACATTGAAATTTTGCAAACAAATCTGTGTGCAACACATCAATGCTAATATCCTCCGTTATTGACACCTACCGGTCTTTCTCATGGTTCTTAAGCCTATCGGTGTTCTACATCAAAATCCTGTTTGTCAGCTTGTAATTCCAAGTGGAATAACACAACCATATCTCCCGTCACCATTTTGAATTTGCAGCCTACATGAGCGCATAATTGACCTTTAATCAATATTGATTAACTAATCGAATGAGAATGCAATCATTTGAATGGATATTTTGATTATGTAACTAGAGCATCTGTTGATTGGTCATGTGACTTTAACGTGATTAATATTTAGTCATGTTCTGACCAACGTGGTTTATAATGTTTTACTGATGCGTGCATTTATGTTTCATGAAAGTTTTATGAATAGGTGATATTAGGTCATAAACAACACATCCAACACGGGTTAGGAAGAAGACTTATCCAACTAACTGGTTAGCTGACGTCGCCAAGAAAAAAAAATATTAATTAAAAAATAACAATACAATTTAAACATTTTCTTTTTTAGAGTTGACAGAGACATACTTTCAATGATAAAACAAAATTTGTAAAAATTTAGTCATGTTTTCGATCCTGAACATTACCATCTTTTGGGTCATGAAGATATCTATCAAAACAGACTCGTTTGGTCTGACCGCCGACAATCACATCTCATATCATCCGTATTTGGAATTGCATCTGTTATCTCGTCTATGTACAGGCACATGGATCTCTCTCTTATGGAGATCTCTCTTGCAAAATTTAGCAAAATATTTAATGAAAAGAACAGTCTTTGAATAATGTACGTTTTAAACAGATTTGCCAAAAAAGCAATTTTCTAAGAAATGCCATTTTATGGTATAATCATACATAGTTTAAATGAAATAATGACAGTTATGTCCAGAGGAGAAGTGTATTGTATCTGAAAATCATGTATGTTATTTTACTGTCAATTACTCTTTGTCGCTTGATCTATGTAGAACCACAGGAGTCTGCAGTTTTATCAATAAAGCACGAAGAAATTTCTGACTACATGAAATCACCTTAACGGTATTATACAATAATAAAGGAATGCAAATCGACCTCAACCCTCCGCTCGTTTCGAAGTTCTCACGCGTCTTTTATCCCTTCAGAATCGTACGAATACTGAAAAACTACACATATCCATTTAAAAAAAACAGTAACGTACCTTCTCATCACTCTCGGACGACCATTGCATGAATCCAATCCGGCGAATTAACCTTTATTTTCACCATTACGGTCACAAACCCTGTGAAAGTGAACCATGTGAGGAAGTTGCCCATTTGTACCACGGGCTAAATAACGTCATGAAATTTTACAAGATAAAATGTTTAACTTGTTTTTTTTTTATTTCAGATTGCATCATTTTATAATTTTTGTATCAATTTCCATAACAGAAATGTGTAGTTAAAGTTCTGATAGTACAAATAACGGTTGATGACATCATCATATTCAAAACTCGAACCTAGACCGATGATGGACCCGGAAGATTAAAAATGTGTTGGATAGATTTTCTAGAGATTGCCACTTGGTAAGATCATCTGTTATACTGAGTTTTTATTTCATATCAGAAAATGATAGTGAAGAAGAAAATATTATAAAATTTCCCTAGTATTAAAAGAAAACACATTCTGCGCCGTGTTCGGAAAGATTATTAGACCCTAATTCATATTTACTACAGAGTAGAAGCTAGAAGCTAGAACAAATGGGCTACTTCCTCACATGGTTCACGGGATGATCACATGGCATTATTCATGATGTTTTTGAAAAGTAAACAGCAGATAAGGGAGAGATACATGACGAGCATGCGATTTTGGTTTGGTTGTTTTTCCTCCTTCTGTAATAAAACATGCTCGGTACCATATATAAACACTTTTCAGCTATAAGTAAGGTATGGACTAACATAAAAGTATAAAATTGATTTCCGTTCCTATCAAACAAGCACATTTTACAAACCTTCTTTATGATGATCATTTTAGAGTTTATAACAGAACTTAAATTTTAAATTTACGTCAGAAATGAAACCTTTCTCTAATTATCTCCTCATATACTAGTTACAGGATGGTGAGTTTTCTCTTGTAAATAAATTTGAAAATAAAAATGTGCATTGTTTCAAACTATCATATTGATACAGTAGCTGTGCTCGTTTTAACTTGCAAATTGTCTTTTTTATAGAAACGGAGATCATTTATTTATTTATTTATTTATTTATTTATTTATTTATGTTTATTTAACGCAATTGGAATGAAGGGAAGTCCTAGATAATGTTATATGGGCCATGTAACAATTTGTTGCGGAAGGACAAAGAGATTTGAGAAGTAAGCAGAAATTGTTACATATACGTGAAATGAAAGAATTGTGTACTAATATTTTAGGAATAAGGAAATCGTCTGGATTTTTAATTTCTTGTAAATATTTTTTGATTTTTAATCAGTCACCCGCTTCTCCATGAATTCACTTTCGTGTTCGTGTTAACTTCAGGTGAAGGATGGGTTAATGTTAATCCTGCGAAAACTCAATGTCAAGGCCACGTAGTCATTTATGTTTGAGGTGTGAGTGTGTATATAGATTTTTAACGTAGCTTTAACGATGTCTGCAGTGTGACAGTTTATAGTGATTCTAGTACCTGGGCATCATGCAGCAGAAATGTGGCATGATGTTCTACCCAGTCATATTATCCTGACATCAGGCCAGGGTTTGAAACCACGACCTCCCACATCCGAGAAGGACGCTCTAACCACTAGGCCACCAAAGTGGTCATATTTGTGTCTGAAGAGTGTGTTCCTACTGTTCAGCTTGATTTAGATACATGTTGTTTAGCAGTTGTTTAGCAAGGTGGGACGTTCCCATGACGTTCATCTCTTCACTAAAATAGACTCATCCAGCATCCCAGCATGCATTTGGATGTTGATAAAAAATTTGGGGTTCTAAATTCATGGCGTCAAGCCGTTCACTTACAGAAGTGGATTCGATAGTCTCTGCATGGAGATATTGGAAATATCAGCACATATTTATCCATTCATTGGTTTTATTTTTAAATCTGTTCATCCTTATAAGGATATCTTGCCAGTCATACAAAGATCATTCCTCCTAGAAAATTCATTCGACTGCCATCGCCTCATGATCTTCTAATTTGTACAGTAGAGAATTGCCTAAATTGAATTTCCTTATTTTGAAAATATATTCCGTTATCAAGCAAATAACGATTGATAAAGATAAACTTATATTTGAAATTCCTACATCTTGACTTAATTATACTTTGATTTCATAAAATGGTCAGCTGATAGTAATAAAGTTTTATCCAAACCTTACTTCTGTCTTTCAATTTCGATGATTCTGTGAGCCATATCTATAGAAATATGATGCGAGTTACTGTAGTTCTTCCATAATTTAGGTAATATGTCAAACGATTTTTAAGATACAATCTGAGTGGACATATTTCTATAATATCGTCTTTAAAGCTAGTTGAAATGTTTCCATCACAGACGTCTTTTAATCCGAGTGAAAGGAGAAATATTCTATACATTCCTTGTCCGATATTCCCTTCATTTTGTATTCTAAAATTATGTGCCTTCATCCAATTGTATCTTTAAACATTTCTGTGCATGAGAGATGGGTTTTATTGCCTCATGTACGTCATCTTCCAGTAACAAAATTAGGGACCATGCGTATTTTGAGAAAACATTTATTGTAGCCAATATATGTAAATGTTCACTGCTAACTATATTTATACTCTGCAAATAAATCAAGTTTGCTTGCATTTAATCATCAGTACGGCTAACTAAATCTATTAAATGGGAATCGTATTCGTGCCTGCTTGTGTTGTGATTTAAGTTGATTGTTAGGTTAACCATTCATTTAATACAAGATATTTATTTTTCACGCCATCATGCTTAATTTGCTTCCACTTAATATTGATATTGTTAAGACCATGTAGTTTAATTACTTATATGTTAAAGTTTGAATCCTTTTTATTTCATTTTTATTTCATTATATTTTATTATGATGATATCTTATTATCATGGTCTGACATTTTAAAAGTAACAGCGTGTTTATTCAGAACGTAAATATGACTCTCAGGATTTCGTAAGTAATTTTCTTAGATTGCTGGATTGATAAACATGCTATGTAGATGAAGGGTTTTGAACCAGGTCATTTCTAATTATACTTGTTGAAATTCTATACTGTATTGGCGAGATTTTGAAATCACAATATGTTCTTCCTGCGTGTACATGAAATAACGTTTACGTTCAGTTTAAATACTCGGGTATCTGTGAATTAGTGGTCAGAGTCATATTTGAACACCTTGTATAGTCTTTCATATACCTTGAAAAAAGGTATTCTTTTCTGGTTCTGGAAAGAGTTGGTAATTTGTACATCTGTAGAGCGAGATATATAATGTGTTACGTGACAAGGGCTCGTTCTCAGTAACAAAAGAAAAGTGTGAAAGCCAACAAACTTTGCAAATTTTAACCAACAATTTATTTCCCTAGTCAACAATGTAAAAATTTGTAAATAGGACTTACAGTTTGTGAGTATGATCCAAAATTTGATCATAAGAATGAAAACACAAGTCCTACCACTAAATAGTCCTATAAGAATCCAAGTTCGAGTCCGAACGACGTACAAATATGGAAGGCGATGACGTCGTCAGATGTAGTCTAATGTATGAATAACAATAATTCCTCACTTGAATCACAGTCTTTGTTTCAGAATAATTCCAGAAATAATTTCATTGAATATCTTTCAGAATTTTTTTTATAAGAAAGTCAAATTGTTGAGTGTCCAGGAGAATAAATTACTGAATTCAAACATCGGAGGAAGAATAAAATATTCTGGCAACAAATTTAAAATAGATGCACCTTGTTCTTTCAAGGTTCTGAATGACTCTGGTCAAACCAATATTAAGAAATCGTATTTACACTCAAAACATCACTTCAAATGTCGCGAGATTTGTCATGTGGTCTCTTATTATGCTAAAATTCACACGTAGACCAATGTGACTTTACTAAAAAAAAACAATCATAAAAAGGATGTTTACAAACTGTGATCATGTGAAGAAAGTTTGCCAGTGATATTGACCAATCATTTTAAATTCCCGTTGACATTATTACCAGGGTAAGACGGACTCAATGTATATTCGCCTTAAGTAAACAGCTATATGCCAAAACATCTCACTACTAAAAATATAATCCAGAATACGAGAAAAATATTTATTACAACTAAATACATTGAATAAAAAATGAAATAAAAAGAATTTTTAACCTTACACACAAGCAATTTAATCACATATACGTAACAATTGTTAATGATGACATCTGTAGTTCGTCAACTTGTTATACAATAATTATTTACCATTTAGAACCAAACGACCGGCTATGGACAAGGACATTTGGTAATATTAATTCTAAATTGGAACGGAACAGTACAAATTGTAATTCAAAGTGAAAATTTTGAACATTTGTGTAAAAACATCGTTTGACGTCATCATCCACCATCTTGAAGCGAATGGAATTGAGATTCAAGCTAGCTTCGATTAGAACTGTTATATTCATAGAACTTGTATGTTTTTCACGATTCAAGGACAAATGTTTGATCTTTCTTCGTAAATAGTAAGTCTTGTTTCATATTTTTACCTTTTCACATTGTTTTTAGGGAAATAAATTATTTTTATTATAACTTACAAAGCTTGTTGTCTTCGCTATTTTCTTTTGTGTTACTTTAAACAAGCCGATACGTAACAACATTAGTAAAGGCCACAATATCATAACATCGGTTTCTCAAATAAGTTTCCTCGCCATTCATTGTGAATAATGACAGCTACTTAAACGGGTTATATTGTTATGAAACGAAAGGTCATTGAAGAAAAAATTTCCATCATTTATGACTTTTTGTCCGAACGTGTCTATGTCTATACACTCTCAGTAGATCACATATATCTTTATACTCTTATTAAAATTTATATAGTAGGACCCAGGTATTACTCAGGATAATTATATATTCTACATGATATGCTTTGGCTTTAGACCACTTGATAATTTAAGCATGTTCGAAATATTGTCCAAATAATCTTTGATTGTACAGACTCAAAAATATCACTCATCAAAGAGGAAGAGAAGAAAACCTGCAACTTTAGCATTACAGGGTTGGCAAATCCTTAATGCCAATCACAGGAATTTCCATTCCGCATCATGGACCTAAGTTGCAGAAAAGTGCCTGACCTGAACAATACAGTCTTTAACTGCTCGAAAATATTGCGGAATAATCACTTGAGAAGAACCAGTTGTAAAGGTGGAGAATCTGAGGAGTGATTTCAAGTGGAGGATCTCTGAGTTGTGAGAGAAGGTTATCCTACTGAGGTAATATCGTTAGTTTGTCGATTAATAGGTCGAAGTGTGAGCTGAACAACAACAATTGGGGTCATAGTGGTCCAATCGGGATGATTTCTCCTCCGATATCCCGATCTTGTGCAATGTCCGTGGCATCAACATAAAGCATAAAGGGTGGGAATGCGTAAGCGAACCAATCAACCATAGTTCAGAACGAAGGCTTCCAGTGCACAGGCTGTTTGGTCCTAGACTAGAGAGACATAAAATGGTAGTTTGTTGTTGAGTTTTGTTGCAAACAAGTCCACCAAATGCACTCCTATAGAACGAACAGAGACTTTGCAACTGCTTCATATGGAGATTCTGTTAAGACTACCTTGCCTGTTCTAGACGGACCGTCGGCAGGATTGGTTTTCTTCCCTGAAATAAGACACACTCTTAGTTTGCTCCATCTGCCTAACGTAGAATTCCAAATATACAAAAGGATCACGAGTACTTCCTTGTGGCCTGAGGTATGTAACCACTGACTTGTTTTTAGAAGGAACCATAAGCAATATCGTTTGAATTGTTCCATACTCTTTTTAAGTTTTATATTCATTCCGTGTTGGTCTTTTTACAGGCCCAGAAAGTAAGGCAAGTTGATTTTTTTAGAGCCAAAATGACTAATTTTCCGAATTATGCTTTTTTCATGTATATTTCAAGGTTTCTGGGAAATTGGTGTCAATCCTGATTGTTTCCACCGTCCAGTCTGCATTCATTTTTGATTTTGCTTACCCATAATTCTCAATTCATTATGACTTGGTCATCATATAAATAACCTGTTACGACCATGTAGATTAATTGTGTGTTAAAATTAGAATCCTTTCTATCTCATTTTTGTGTTATTATATTTATTATGATGATGATTATGTTCACAGAGTCTGATATTTTGAGTGAAATGTCATGTTTATTTAGAACGTAAATATTACTCATAGGATTTCGTAAGCAATCTGTGTAGATTGATTTCTGATAAACAGGCTAGAGAGATGATTGGTTGTGACCGAGGTAATTTCTAATTTTAATTGCTTACGCTTTGTAATGCCTGTTATTTCGAAATCAACACGTGTCCTCTTTGGGTGTCCAAGAAATGACGCTTTCATTAAATTTAAATACTCAGTTACATGTAAGAAATATTCAGTCAGAGACATGTTTCAAGATCTAGTAGAGTCGTTTATATTTCATGAAGAATGGTATTTTTATAATGCTAGAAAGAGTTGTTTGTACGTCAGAAGAACGAGATGTATATTGTTGTAGATCTGTAGTGCATCTGCTTGTTAAACAATAATTATTTTCCCTGGAGAACACACAACTGGCTTTGACAAAGACTTTCGGTGAAGTTAATTCTAAATTGTAACAGAACAGTACAAATTGTAATTTAAAGTTAAAATTT